TTCTAACTACTGTTACTTTCATCCAGCTTTGCTACACTAATTGTCACCTATGTTATCTAATTTCTGTTAGCATTTCTTTGATCGTTAGTGTAGTTTGTATTTTTTGTTTCTTGGTTTTTCTTTTTTAGGCACGAGTTTTCTACTCCTGTTCTTTACCTTTTTCTCTTTTTAAAATTGAAATAGTCATTATTTTCTTAATTATTTTGTAAGACCTCCTTGTATTTTGGAGACATTTAACATTGTCTACATATGTTTCAGATTTTGTTTTTTTGGTTTGTACTCTCTTTCAACATTCTTTGTGGTATTAGGTTTTCTCCTGATGTACAAAAGTGATGTATTTTTATGTAGTTTAATATGTACATCTTTTCCTTTATGATTTCTGGGTTTTATGTCCTGCTTAGAAACACTTTTCTCACCTCAGTATTATGAAATGTTCATTCCATAGGGCAATAGTTCAGTGATTAAGTATAGTATAGTGTTTTGTTGTTTCATCTGTTTAATATATAATAACCTCCTTTTGCATTTGGTCTAACTGTGGTTTCCAACCTTAGCTACGCATGGAATCCCCCGGACACCTGATCCTGCCTCACGGATGTTGTCAGAAGCTCTAGGGTGGGGCCCAGGCTCTGGGTTTGAAAACATATGTTTCTGTGTGGATCTGGTGTGTGTGACTGTGTAGCTTTATTCCAGATCTGGGCTTTTTGGTTCTCTCAGACCCTCCTTCATCTTTCTGTGACTGGTTTTTATTGTACTCTTTCCTATCTTGAAATGAAATTTCATAGATAATATACCTAGTTACATATTTTCAGAATTAGGTATCAACATAGTGCCATAACTGGAACATCAATGAGAAAGAAAACTAAACAACTTGTAACTCAATAGTATGTATTTTAGTAGGTAAGTACTCAGGCGTGACTAGCCTAGCAGAGAGGTAAGATGTCATGTACAAGAACCTACCCCTGGCCGCTGTGAAAGGAAAGGGCAGAACGCAGGTCAGAAAATTGGTTTTTTTAGTAATGCAGACACTCGAAGTGGTGTTGCCATTCGGGATATGCATTTATGAGATACTGAGTAACTTTAGTTAAAGTGCTTAAAACACAGTCTTCGCTTGGTTTACCTAGAAAATTCAGTGCTTATTAAGACTACGTAAAAACAAGATTTTTGTTTCTATACATGAAAGGAGGTTTAGGAGTTTGTTGCCTTTATAGAATGTCTGACTGAGCACTTAAAGTCATGATGGATTTGGAACAATTGTCATTGTATGGAACTGTCCTATGGACGATGTCTGGCACCTCCGGTCCCGCCCACCGAGTGCCCATGGTTCTCCCCGAGCGCTGCTGTCAAAAGCACCCCTATCAATTTTTCAAAGAACGCTTAGGACTATTCCTATCGGGAACCCCTGGTTTAGTTGATTAGTTTATGTTCTTAATTAATATAAATGCTATTACACATAGGAAAATACTGTATATAGATTTTGACATTGTTCTTAAGTTGTGCATATGTTGAAAAATAGAATTGAGTCATAGATGTCTTTATTCCCTTCTTTTTCATCTTAACTCTTGTATCCTATTGTCTTTGTTTCTTAACACAATATTTTCATTTCCTTTGTCTTTCATGCTAATTTGTACTTATTGTACATGGTTGTTAATTTTCAACTATGAGAACAGTAACATTACAATAGTATTGTGAACAAAATCTTAATTACTTCCTGTATTTGCAGTCATGGAAAAAAAAAGAGGAAAAAGTAAATGAGGAAGGTTGTTTGAGGAACTGGGAGATTTCACATTTTGGAATTACATGCCTTTGAGGTTGAGACCAAGGTTAAAGTTTGTAGAGGGAAGATAATGCCTAATGTTTTTGTGTGATTGTGGGGTTTTGCTTCAAAGTCAAATGCAGTTACTTAAAATATTTTGTTGTAAGCCTTTTTCTTGGTATGGCTCTATTAGTAAGCCTTGTTAAGAAGTGATGTGTGAAGCTGAACAATTAAGTCCTAACAACTAATGTTTTAAAAACGTGGATTTTAATATCATGGTAAGAAATGAAGTAGGCTGTAAAGCTGACGCTATATTACAGACCAGTTTCAAGTGATGTGATTTCTTGTAATATTTATATAGATCTGACTTGGCTTTTACATGAAAAGAATGAATATCTTTTTTGCTGAAGCAGATGGGAAGATAAATATGTTGTCTGACGTTTTTATGCAGTGACCTAGGAATAGCCTTAAGAAGCATATTGTCGAGTTTCTAATTACTGTTGAGAAATGAAAGCTCAATATTAATTACGTTAAAGTCCTAAAATGTTTTTTGATAAGAATTCTAAAAATTTGGGTTTTTAGTAATGCCATCTAAAATCAGTTGGTTCATTACCTAGAGGTACATTTTGTAGGTCCTTACTCTGCTCTCATAGGCTGAGCTGCGCAAAACTGGAGGTTTTGAGACAGGAGTAATGACTGCCCTTTTGCGGTTGAGACAGGTATTGATTCAAATCTGTTCTCAATCTCAGCCCTGTTTTCCTAGGCAGGCACAGCCCTTTTTCAGCGGGACACTTGTGCAGGCTTTGCATGGAGCCAAAGGCCCTTTCTCAGAGCCCCACTGGCACCGCGTGGCTCACGCCTGCCCTCTCAGCCTGTCCGCCGGGGCGCCAGTCAGGCTCTGGGCCCTTGATGCCAAGTGAAGACTTTCCCACCGAGGTCGGTCCTCCCTTCAAAAAGCAATAAAAAATATCAAAAGTCCAGTTTCCTCTCAGTGCAAATGACCGTGAATTTGTCTGCTTAACTCGTTCGAAGACCAGGTGAAGGAGAGGAAGTGTGTAGCTGTGTCTGTGGCAGGGTGTACCAGCCTGCCTTCCCCCAGGGTGGCACTTGCCACTATGGGGATCTTGGCGGTGCTAATATACACAAGTTTCTTTAATGCAGAGCTTGTTTTGAACTTCTGGGGAGCTTAAACGTAGTATTCTTGATTTGCTAAGCACGGCCTCCACTGTGTTGTGTTTTTCAAACTTATTTGACAATGGAACCATATTTTTTTAGGAAGCTTACGCATGTGGGTAATTGCTAATTGCTATTCCAAGAATAGCCTCCTTTTCCCCACTGAGTTATATTTTAATACTCTGCCTTTGAGTGAGTTCTGACATTAGAAAAATAGCTTTAAGAAAGGCCATTACAGTTGTTGAAGACATTGTCCAGTATGTTGATTAGTGTTCTCAGAATAAATTCTTCCTGTGATTTAATACTTGGTAAAGCTATGTGTTTTTCTTTTTTTGTCAGATGAGATTTATATAAGCCATTATGCCTTTTTTGTTTTTGTTTTTTTTGCCTTGCCTGTAAGGCAACTCAAACAAATGTAGCACACAACACGGTAATTATTGAGCTCTCATGTTTAGCATACTAAGAATTTTTACTCTCCCCTTTTATATTTACATAGCTTAGTAGTTAGATCCCAGCTGTTGAGCTTTGCTTTCTTCATCTTTACTATTAGGATCTACCATTTGGGTTATTGTGAAAATCAAATGAAATATTCTTTTTTAATTGCTTAGCCATGTGTCTGACACACTGTAGAATGTTAAGTAAATGCTGTCGGACTTTTCTCCATAATTTTAATATTCTCTGTTTCTCAATTTACAGCCTTATTTCATGCACATTTTTACTTGGAGGCAGCTCAGTATTGTTTAGAAGGGAGAAGTATAAATACAAAGAAAAGGTTATAAGCATCGCATTAAGAACATTGCTGGAGTGGATGTGAAGGAGTGAAGTGGGGTAACCACGCCCAGAGCTGGTGAAAAGTGCTGTGTCTCTAGTAAACAGCGCCTCCAGGATCTGGGGTGTTAGGGAGCCGCAGCCGACGCCCCCGCCCCTCCTCCCCCGGCAGCTGGAGGCGGGGCGTCTTTCTGAGCAAAATGTGGACTTGAGCTTGAACCCAAGTCACAGCTTCAAAGCAGCTGCAGCTCCTGTAACATTTTTGGTTGTTTGTGCTGCATGTTTGTACTTAAGTGGAAAAGAGACAGGCCCTCCCAGGGGGATTCTATAGGCCCAGAAGTGGGTAAGCAGACTTCTAGTTTCTTAAATAAGAAGTGTTGTGAACATCAGGGGGTTCGGTGATGGACTAGAACGTGCTGGGCATTTGGTCTTGCTGTCTCCCACTCACCAGGGATACATACTAGGTGCTCTGGGTTTCTTTTCACATAGAGGTAATCCGTATGAGGGGAGGCGTGGCATTTCTGACCCATTTCTGACCCAAGACTCAGAGAGCGCATGTCCTTCCCTTCGGCCCCCTGACCCCTCGTGTTGCAAGGTTGGTGGACGGCTCACGGGTGTCTCAGCCACACCAGCACAGGGCTGGGATCGTGGGTCCAGTGACCGTATCATTTACCATCCACCCTACCCTTTTCTGAATGAAAGGGGGCCCTATTTGTAATCAGGCCAGGACAATGTATAAGACACTGCTGGGCAAACCGGACATTTGGTCACTTTAGCTAACAACCCCTTTTCTGCATTCTCTTCAGTAACAAAATACACCTTTTGTATTTTGTGTTAAGCTGGCCCTCCTCTCTAGCAGCAGAGGGATTCAGAAGGCGCTCTGCCCTGCTGTGATTTTCCTGTACCGTGTTTTATTTTCTAATTTGGAGTGTATTTTCTTTTCGTATTCAAAATCACTGTCTATTTTTGAACCCTATATAATCAGCTAACAGACTGCCTTATGAATTATTAAGTACGTCATAATGATTCTTTCTTTAAACTCCACCAGCCAGGTGGTAACCTGGGGGCAAATTAAAGGACAGAACTGAGGCGGAGGCTCTCAGGGCCTGTGCCTGGTAACACTGCATGCATGGCGAAGGCTGAACCCGGATCATCAGCGGCTTTAAAACATCGCTTTCATTTTTCTATTTTGCAGTTGTATTTAGGCTGTTGAAATTAATGTTGATAACTTTTGACGTTCAAAACCAGTGTAAATGAAAGTTAAATGTTTATGTCTTGTATGTTCTCCCCACCTTTGTCTTAACAGAAAAAAGCTTGGCCAGACCACAAGCGGGAATGCAAATGCCTTAAAAGCTGCAAACCCCGATATCCTCCGGATTCTGTCCGACTTCTGGGCAGAGTTGTTGTCAGACTTGTGAGTATAGAACTTGTGAAATATTCGTGGGCTTTAATTTAACAAAAGCACTCGCAGTTGTATGCATTATTCTTATTTAAGGCTGAATTTAAACCCAGGTGAAGGTAGAAGGTGGATGATTCCAGGGAGTATTGTAAGACAAACATGCTGTTCTCCTGTTCCTCCCAGTGGTGGTGGCAGCAACGATGTGCAGTCCCTCTTTGAAGGCCCTGCGTGTGATCTCCTGGGGCCGGAGACACCAGGTCCTCCATTAGTCACATGAGATGTTAGTAATAATGCCTGTTGTGCTGCCTTGGTTGCTTTTCTACTGTGAAGCAATGCACGGGGCGTGCATATCGTTTTTTTTTTTTTTGTTTTTTTTGCTGCCTCTTCAAGTGAGATTTTAATTTGATGATAATTAATCTTACTGGAAGAATACTCGTCTTTTTACCTACGGTCAAGATTCATTGAGATTGTTTCTGCAGTTCTTGTCCTTACTGTGCCAGAGCAGCGGGCGGGCTCCGTGGAACCCCCTCTGGTGACACCTTCAGGTGTTTTGCGTCAGGCTCGCGCATGACTCTCCTCCTCAGATGGTTGCAGGCACCAGCTCTCTCCTGTCCTGTTTTTTTAAATTTTTTAATTGACTATAAAATTTTATAGGGGTTTTTAAGAATGTAAAAATTTGATTATCTACCTAAAACTATTAACAATGTTACACATCTTCTTAATTTTTAAAAAAATGGATTTGCAATACCAAATGATCATTGTCTTTGGACCTAATATACGATAGACATACTTACTGCTATTTTCAAATGCGTGCATTCTGTCAAACTAAAAAACACAGCTTTATTTCAAAGCATTAATGAAGTCAGAGCAGCTGTGTCTTTAAGCATTATTTTAACCACTGGATACGAAAAGTATGGTAACTATTATATTTGAATGGGAACTTTTTTCTACGCTATTAATACTGAAGACATAGAGAACCATGGTTGGAGCAGAAAAGGGTTGCTTCAGAGCCACCCAAGGTCCTAGTTCTCAGTCTCCACCGCTGAGACGGACTCTACTTGTTCCACTGAGTCAAAATCTAATAGTAAGCAATTGTAACGATAGTCACTGTCTTCTGAGCGCCTGCTGTTTCCAGGCCCTGTGGTAATTGCTTTGCATGACAGACCCCTCTGCGTCCCCACAGCAGCCTGGTGATCCGGTGCTGTCTTTACTCCTACGTTCCAATAAGGAAATTGCCTCCTCTTGACTCAGCTTAAGTAACTTGCCCGAGGCTGTACAGTGTGCAATAAATTATTATTTTTATTCATCAATCTTTGCTTTTTATGGTAATTTTTAATAAAATCCTAACAATGACACAAGTTGTGTGGGTAGAGCTGTGGAAAAATATAAAAGTAGGAGAACTTGTAAAAGAGTTTTGCACTTGGAAATTAAGCTGGTGAATTTTATAACTTTTAAAGTTGTTACTGATAAAATAATTCAGCTCTCAGAAAGTGATGAACAGAGGAATATGCTGTATAGAATTTTTTTTTTATGAAATAGACTTTCATTTAAATGTCTAAAGATACTCGAATATATTCATTTAAAGATTGGAAAACTTGAAATGGTTTTTGGTTGTTTTTCCCTTTACTTCATAGATGGAGGAAACCCCCTCTGAATCGGAGAAACTTTACTCATTTTATGATCTGGAATCAAGTAAGTGATTGTCCACCAGCATCTAAAAAATAATTCCTGTCATTTATTTGCTGAGCTGGTGAATTGCTTTATTGCTTTTTTGGGGGTCTCTCTGCTGTGTGAGGAAAATCTGACATCAGCTTACGCGGTGTGTTCCGCGGCAGCTCTGGCCGTGTAGGAGCTGAAGTGCCAGGTTAGGCCGCGAGGGGCGTGTCACCTCTAGTCCAGGCGACACAGTCCCTGCTTCTCTGCTTTCCCCTCCCGTATTCCCTTCTTCCGCCCTCGGTTTCTTTCTGATGGCGGGGAACAGGGACGCGAGCCCGCTGGGGCGGGGTCGCAGGGAGCGTGCAGGCTCCCCGCGCTTTCGGTGATGGGGGAGGAGCAGGAGAGCCGACTGAGGCTGCCAGGCACCTGGGGCACCGTCCCGGCCCTCCCGGCCCTCCCGGCCCTCCCGGCCGTGCTGTGTGGGACAGGGCAGGGCTTTACAAATCTGAGCGTTAAGTAAACATAGGGGTTAATTTTCTTTCGTATCAGCACAGCTCCTCTCCATTGAGGTTGTGAATAACCTCACCCCAAAGTAGCCAGAGCTCCTAGAGTGAATTTGCTACACAGTTTAACATTTCTGGATGGAGACAAATCTAGTGTAGACTCAGGGCTATCGGATCCTAAGGCCAGTGATAGTAAATTATTATTTAAGAGTCACCCATGATTAGAGAGGTGCAAATCAAAACTACAGTGAGATCCCCATCTCACACCCATTAAGATGGCAATTATTAAAAAAAAAGAGAGGAAACCATGAGTGTTGGCGAGGACGTGCAGAAATGGGAACCCTTGTCCCCCCGTTGGTAGGAATGTAGAATGATATGGCTGTTGTGGCTAACAGTATGGAAGTGCCTCAAAAAAATTAAAAATAGAATTACCATATGACCCTGGATTCTGGTTATACACTCATAAGGATTGAAAGCAAATATTTACCCATTCATATTTATAGCAGTATTATTCACAGTAAGTAAAACACAGAAGCAACCCAAGGGTCCGTGAATGGAGGAATGAATAAACAAAATGTGTTATATGTACACAGTGGAATATTATTCAGCCTTAAAAAGGAAGGAGATTCTGACATTATGCTACAATATGGATGAACCTTGACCACGTTATGCTAAGTGAAGAAATAAGCTAATGACAAAACGGCAAATACTGCATGATTCCACTTACGTGAAGGTCTTAGAGCAGTCAAAGTCATAAAGACAGAAGGTGAAATGGTGGTTACCAGGGGGTCTGGGGAGGGGTGAACGGGACGTTACCGTTTAATGGTTAGTGAGTTACAGTTTCACAAGATGGAAAGTGTTGTGGAGATGGATGGCGGCGGGGTTTGCGTATCAGCGTGGGGCATTTGGTACCACTGAACTGTACGCTTAGAAATGGTAAAGATGGCAGATTTTATGTTTTGTGTATTTTACCACAGTTTTAAAAAGAGGAAAAAAGAAACCACAGGGTTATTTGTTCTGTTGAACAAGTAATTTAAAGAAAATGTGTAGATTTGACATGAGCAACAGAGTTATGCTGTAGTTCAACTGATACGTCCTTTCAAGTTTTAATAGAGAACTAATTAGTCATTTTTTCCTTGACATATTACTGCTCGGTAATTAACATCTCTTGCAGTGAGTTTCACTATTAACATTGGCCCTTCTCAGCAGCGGTGTCAGATATGCCGCCTTCAGTGAAATGCTCTCAAGCAGTATTAATTGAATTGTGCACTCTTAGCCTTAACACCCCTTTGTGGTATAAATTAAACTGAATTTTTTAAAAAGATGAACTTTTGATCTTTTTCTTATATAATTCCCTTTAGTGTTTCATATAATAATGGCTTGGTGATGATGAACTCCTTTATTTTTACCTTGTTTGGGAAGCACTTTATCTGCCTTTTCAATTCTAAATGATAGCTTTGCTGAATAGAGTAATTTAGGTTGTAGGTCCTTGCTTTTCCTCATATTGAATACTTCTTGCCAGCTCCTTCTAGCCTGCAAAATTTCGTTTGAGAAATCAGCTGACAGTCTTATGGGAACTCTTTTGTAGGTAACTATCTGCTTTTCTTTTGCTGCTTTTAAGATTCTCTCCTTATCTTTACTCTTTGGCAATTTAATTATGATGTCTTGGAGTGTACCTGTTTGCGTCCATCTTGTTTGGGACTCTGTGCTTCCTGGACTTGTATGTCTATTTCTTCACCAAATTAGGGAAGTTTTCTTTCATTATTTTTTCAGATAAGTTTTCAATTTCTTGCTCTTCCTTTTCTCCTTCTGGCACCCCTCTGATTTGGGTGTCGGTACGTTTAAAGTTGTCTCAGTGGTTCCTTAGTCTATCCTTGTTTTTTTGAATTTTTTTTTCTTCTTGCTCTTCTGGTTGAATGCTTTATTTTCCCTTGTGTTCCAAATCATTGATTTCATTCTCGTCTTCATCCCCTACACTGTTGGTTCAGGAACATAATCATAGACATGGAGCCCATTTAGAGGGTTATCAGTTGGGAGGGAGAAGGGGAAGAATGGGGGAAAAGGTACAGGGAATAAGAAGCATATTTGGTAGGTACAAAATAGACAGGGGGAGGTTAAGAATAGTATAGGAAATGGAGAAGCCAAAGACCTTACATGCACGACCCATGGACATGAACTAAGGGGGGAATGGCTTTAGAGAATGGGAGTAACTGATGGAAGGGACAAAGCGGGAAAAGGTGGGACAACTGTAATAGCATAATCAATAAAATAGATTAAAAAAAAAAGGTGAACTTTCTTCTTCAGTTTTGGTTGAAGCAACACCATATCTTGTTTATTCAACCAGGAAATAACTTGGAAGTTGATATTTCTTTGGTTGATCCATGTTTTCTTGTCGATATACTTCCTAATGACAAAGTTTACCAATTTGAACTTTAGCTGAATTTTTTAGTTCTCACTTTCTGAGTTATTTTTGCATGTGACATGACACTGTTTCTCAGTGATGACCTGGTTGTAAACTTTTCATGGAAAAACTTGCTTATGTTCACTGACTTATAAGCTTTCACCATGGTTTGATTATGTGTACAGGATGATGTATAAAATCTGGTAATACATATCTTTACTGATTTTTAAATGTGTTTTCATCTGTATGTGTATTTATTTTGTTTTGATAGGTTTTTGATCTTGTAGATAAACTTATAGAACTTAATCGCTAATGTATATATCATAGTTTGTAGTTGTCAGAAAATAAAAAGATACGTGTTTGCTCTCTGTCAGAATGGCATCTAGGGCAGGAAATATCTAGTTTAACAGTTACCTTTGAACACCTGAAAATTATCTACTAAAAGTTCATTGTGCGATTGTGCTATTTTCTCTTTCACAAAGATATTAATAAACTGACTGAAGATAAGAAAGAGGGCATCAGGCAACTTGCATTGACGTTTCAACATTTCATGAGAGAAGAAATACAGGATGTTTCTCAGCTGCCACCTTCCTTTGACGTTTTTGAAGCCTTTGCAAAAGTAAGTGTGAAGTTTTGTGTCTTTGCTAATGTCATAAATCAACCCTTTACTCTTCATTTTCTTGTTGATTCCTGAAAATCATGTCTTATATCACTCTCCTACTTTAATGCATAGAGAATGAAAGAATGCATCATTTATACTAAAAAGTGTATTACTTTTAATGTTTTCTCAGTATTCTTACTACCAACCCGAGTGCGTTCATTGTCAGCTCTCAAGGCATACCCTGCCATTGCGTTCATTTAATATTGTCATGGTGTTTCATCAGCAGAGCCTGTTTTTCTTTTAAATGACATTTATTGGGGTGACAATTGTTAATAAGATTCTATGTTACGAGTGTACAGTTCTGTGACACATCATCTGTATATCGCATTGTGTGCCCACCCCCCAAAGTCAAATCTTCCTGTCACCTTATATTTGACCCCCTTTACCCTTTACTAGCGCCCCCCACCCCACCTTCCTCTGGTAACCACTCTGCTGTTGTCTGTGTCTATGAGTTTTTGTATGTTTTTCTTGTTAGATTATCTATTGCTCTTAGTTTTATATCTCACATATGAGTGGAATCATATGGTTCTTAACTTTTTTTTTTGTCTGACTGAAGTGAAAAATTCATTGAATCTGTTCCTCGATTGAGCGAATTCTAAATATGAAAATATAACCACTTCTGATTTTAAAATAACGGCCTAAAATTTTGTTCAAATGTTTCAGGTCACTAAAATCGTGTATTAGAGAGAGAACATAGGTTTAATTTACTATTTGATCTGTTGTCTCTTGTTAGTGGCTACCTGAAGTACTATTTTTAGAAATGATTCTGATGGTTTTTTGGGTCCAGAGTGAAGAAGTACACTGATTGATTCTTGATATCTATCTTAATGTCCCAGGGACAGGAACAGCGGATCAGATACACCCCCATCACTACTGTGTGTTCACTGTCCTTCCTTTCTCATATCATATGTTTGGATTTGTTTAAATATTGATCACATTTTAATAACAAGTACAATTTTACATTTGAGTGTGAAATTGCCACTTATTTTAGAATTTGAAAGTACACATCTAATGACATACATATCATGCGTATTTTTAAGGTATACTTTGCAATCTGCTTATTTTCTAAGAATTTAAATCTAATTAGTGTGGTTGCTAGAGAGTTACTATTGTTTTTCTTAACTGTATTTTTATTCTTTAGAGTATGTTGTTTATGATTTTCTGGTAATGTCTTAGCAGTAAATTCTGGTTTGTCTAAAATTTAAAATAGATTTTTTAATATAATGGTTATTTATAATGCATCTGAGAAGTTTCTGATGCTGATTTCATATTCTGAAGTTTATATGCCATGGTGCACACCATATACTGTGCACGCGGACTCTTGTGGTGGTAAGCACAGTATAAAGTAACAGCTACCGAAAGATAAAAATGCACTCTAGGATAGCTGTGACTTCATTCCTAGTGTTGAGTCTGTGGCTATTCTGTGACAATTCTTTCTATTATTGGAAAATTTTCAAGCACTAATTACTGATGTTATTAGTATTCATGCAAAATGTTTTCAAATGTCTACTATTCCATGTAAAATGAGTAATATTTAAATTGCTATCTTATATTTTTGTTTATTTTAAAATAATTCTAATTTTAGGTATATTACCATGAAATTCCCTCTATATTTCATAGGGGGAAAATTGTTATTATAATTAAATGGACAAATGTTTGGTAATAGGCTATCCTTTTCCCCTCAAACTTGTATTTGTTATTGCTACAAAAGTAGAACATACTCATCTTTAAGATTTTGGAGGGAATTAGACTCATATGTGATTTCTACCTTAAATATAGGTAAATCATCAAATGAAAGCAACATTAACTGATGACCCCTATACTTGTTCAAGTTTTGTAAATATTTTATAAATTGTAGTTACTTTTCTGCTTATAAATCTGTCCTTAAACGAGATCACTTCGCTCCCCTTCCTTATTCTTTTCCTTTTCTTTCCTTTCTTTCTTTTTTTAACGAATGGAATAGCCTTACATTGAGCTAGCTGGTATTCTGCAAACCTTAGGGCTGAGCCACTGAGCTCCTGACAGGGCAAGTGTGTGCTTTTGTGAGCGTGACCGAGGCATTGGACTCCGGTGGAGAACGTGGGCGGGGAAGCTCATTCCTCTCACTGCCCTTTCTCCTCGTCTCACTGGCACAGAAATAGTCAAAGAGCAGAAATGGGCACCCCCGACTGTGCTGCCTGCAGTCGCTGCTTTTTTATGTACCCGCCGTCAGGGGTAGCCCGTGCTGACCTGCCTTCCGCCAGCGCCAGCGAATGAAGAAGCCTGGCTTCCCCTGCCTGCCGCAGAAATTCTGTTTTGTGTCTTACTTTCGGTCCTACTGATTTGTATGGGTTCAGGTTCTATACAGATTTTACACATGCTCTGCGTATGTTTTAGCTCATCTCCTTTTCATGTAAGGCATAAGGAATTCTGAGAGCTTTCCTAAATTTGTTTGTATCTTTTTTTTTTTTTTGACTTTTTGATTATGGACTTTTCAAACATACACAAAAGTAAAGACTAGGATAATGAACCCGCCTGTCTTTTGTTATTGAGCCTCTTGGTTGTCTGAGAGGTGCTTGTTACTGGATTCACTTATTAAATTAAATGGGCCTTTTTGTTTTGTATTTGAATCAATAGGCCTACTATTGATTCAGGGTTTCCAGAAGTATGTGGCTAATTCTAAATCTGAAAAGTATCTACCAAAGCAAAAAGCCTCAGTCAGAAGTCTTACTTGGAGATAGTCTTCTATTTATCAAACTTCCAACTTGGAAAGAGAAGGGGTTAGTGGAGAAGGAGAAGGTTCTTAATCCTGAGTGCGTATTTCCCTGCTGGGCTGATGGCTTTTTCTAATAGAAGACCATGATTAATTCCTCAAAAGTTGGTAGTTTATCTTTTGAACACCATGGGATTTTTCTGCTGAAAAAATAGTATGTAGCCCCGACTGGTGCAGCTCAGTGGGTTGGGTGTCCTCCCGCAAACGAAGGGGTCGCCAGGTGGATTCCTGGTTAGGACACACGCCTGGGTTGCAGGCTGGTCCCTGTTCGGGGACATGTGAGAGACAGCCAGTCGACATTTCTCATCCTCTCCCTCTCCTTCCCTTCCCCTCTCTCTAAGAATAAATAAAATCTTAAAAACAGAAAAAGAAATAATAGTATGTATCTCCTGTCAGACTAGGTTCTCAGCACTGAACGTGCTTCTGCTGCTGAAGACCTGACTTTACTTGGAAATCTTCCTCTCATCACTGCAAAGACATTATTGGGTAGCGGTTTGGGGGTGATATGGTCAAGTTTTCCTCTTTTTCCTCCACTTCCTTAGCCCTAGTATTAGTCTCCACTCCCCCCACCCCTGTGAAGAGTGATTAGGTAAAAAAAAATTTTTTCCAAAAAATCTTTTTTATTTTTTCAATTACAGTTGACATACAATATATTATTAGTTTCAGGTGTACAACATAATAATTAGACATTTAAAAAATTATGAAGTGATCATCACACTAAGTCTAGCGCCCATCTGACGCTACACACAGTTACTGCAGGATTGTTACCTGTATTCCCTCTGCTGTACTTGACATCCTTGTGGCTCTTTTGTGATCGCCAATCTGTGCTTTTTAGTCTCTTCCCCTTTTTCACATCCCCGCAACCCCTCCCCCCGGGCAGTGACCGAAATCTCTGTGTCTATGAGTTTGTTTCTCTTTTGCTTGTTTGTTGACTTGTTTTTTATATTTTACATGTAAGTCAAGTCACATGGGATCTGTCTTTCTCTGACTTATTTCACTTAGCATAATACTGTTTAGGTATTCATGTTGTTGCAAATGGCAAGATTTCATTATTTTTTCATGGTTGAGTGATGTTCCATTTTGTGGATGCACCATTTCTTCTTTATCCATTCATCTATAAATGGACACTTAGGTTGCTTCCATATCTGAGGTATTGTAAACAAGGCTGCAGTGAACATATGGATATACATGTCTTTGCGAATTAGTGTTTTGGGTTTCTTTGGATAAATACCCAGGAGTGGAATTGTTGAGTCCTTCTCTGTCTCTTGGTATAGCCTTTGTTTTAAAGTCTGTTTTGTCTGGTATAAGTAGTGCTACCCCAGCTTTCTGTTTGTGTCCATTTTCAGGGAATATCCTTTTCCAAACCTTCACTTTTAGTCTGTGTGTCTCCTATTCGAAGTGAGTCTCTCCTCGGCAGCCTACGGAAGGGTCTCCTTTATCTTATCCATTCAGCCACTCTGTGTCTTTTGATTGGAACATTTAATCCATTTAAATTACATTTAAAGTAATTATTGATAGATATGTGGTTATTGCCATTTTATTATTTATATTTTTGATCTTTTTTTTTTTTTTTTCCTTAAAAAAGTCCCATTACCATTTCTCGTAATACTGGTTTGGTGGTGATGAACTCCTTTAGCTTTCTCTTGTCTGGGAGCAATTGTAGGAGTTTGCTGTTTAAATATATTTTATTCACTTGTGAACTTGTTGCCTGGCTGTGAAATTTAAGTAGCATGAGACATAGGAATGGGGAATTTTTCTAGAAGAGGGTACGACGGAGGATTTCACGTAGGAAGTAGCAGTTGGCACTGTGACTTCCAGGAGAGGGGATGGTGCTGGGACATGGGCCAGAGTTGCGGACAGTGGCCTGGAAATGTGGCTGCTGGAGGGCTGCGTGGGGGCTGACCCGCTGAAGATCTGAAGAGGTGGTCGCTGCCTGTGGAATACATATTTCAGTTATATTTAGAACTCTTAAGTAAAAGCTTGATATTTAAAACGCTGGTTGCGCATGTTTGTATTAGCAATTTGTAAAGGTAACAGCACCTCCAGAATTTCTGTCGAGGGGCCGCTGCAGAGTGAGGGTCTGGTGGGATGGACAGACTGAAGTGATTTGCTTGAAGCTTCATTTGCACGGCAGTTTGTGTGCGTGTGCGTGTGCGTATCATGCGTTACTCCGGGGTGTGTGGCTGAATGGAAATAAAGGTGTGAG